CTTTGCTTCGTCTGTGAGTATGTTTTTATTATCTCATTCGTACAATAAACCTTGGATAATGCACTAGGTGTGTGCGCCACCTGTTTTCTCTCTATCCGTTGGCTGATTGATTCCCCGTCTGAGGAGGGCTGCACCCCTGGAACATTTCCTTTGGTTGTCGCTGTCCTGGTACCCTTGGCTTCCCTTTTGGCTGTGCATATCCTGAGGCGCTGGAGAGTACATACGATATGCAACATTGTACCCATTTGACATCTTTATCATTTTTTTTTTTCCACACAAATAGAGCTTTCTTTTGGTGGTATTTACTCGCCACTGGGTGTGTTTTTTTTTTTTTTGCGCTATAAACAAAAAAACTTTTTTGAAAAAAAAAAGTTTTTCTTTGTTTCTATTTTATATTTCAATGGTTTTTATTAATTTTAAACAGTATAAAACAGAGGCAACAAAACACGCCCACGCAGGGGCTATCAATTGCACCAATAAAAAAAAGGGCATAATAGAGAAAACAGTGCTGAAACTCCAACAAGGCAAAAGGTACGCCCACGCAGGGGCTAGCAATGGCACATAAGTTACAATAACATTAACGTAACTCTGACTATCACAACTAAAGACAGCTGTCCACTGTCACCCCAAAAACAAACAGAAAACAAAGAGAAGAAAAAAAAAACAAAAACACCAAAGAGCAAGGGTCCAAGAGCGCCAATACCGAAAGCCAAAGCCAAACGCCATTACATCCCCATACTAGTCGTGGGGGAGCGTGGGAAAGGCGTATTGCAACCATGGCTCCCTCTTTGTTTCTATTTTAAAATTTTGCAAACAGGTAATTTTTCTCCTTCACCTTGTGCAAGTCACATCAGTCTCTGCACCTGAGAAGCTTGCACCCTTCCATAGTCACACACTATAAGGCTGGCCATACATTTTATAATTTTCTTGAGAAATTTTACTTTAGATTTACCAAAAACCATATAATAGGAGGTCAAACCTAAACAACACTTTCAATTGTATCCAATTAGGCCCTTGCGCTACATAGTTGAAGGTAAATCTAAAGGAAATTGGGCAGAAACTGGACAAACAATTATATAGTGTATGGCCAGCCATACTTTACATTTATGTGATATTCTGCTGTGCTGTAGAGAGAACCCTGAACTAGTCACATTAGTCTCTGCACCAGAGGAGCTTACACTCTAATTGTCCAGTCCCCGTAGCTGCTGTCAGTCTCTGGGGGTGTGGCTTCTCTTTCTGCCCTTTCACGTCACCAAGATTTTTGTAATATCAGATTAAAAAAAAAAAAGTCTGTATGCATGGGATAAATGTTTAATTGTTTCTTAGCCTGAGGGTGTGTTTAGGTGAAGGTTGGGTTTGTTGAGATACAATATAAAGATAATAATAATATTAAAAATATGATTGGTTCTGTTTATGTTTTTCCCGGCAAAACAAGTTGTTTCCTGTTTTCTATGGTGAAGTAAGCTATTTTTGTTTAATTTATATATAAATATTTATATTTTATTTATTCTGTATATATGTAAATATAAATATGTTTTTATTATGTTGTTTGTTTGCAAGATTTTTATAAACAAAAATTCACACTCTAATTTCCCACCACATTCACACAATAACAGTATATATATATATATATATATATATATATATATATATATATACAGTCATGGCCGAAATATTTTTTTGGCACCCTTGATATTTCTCCAGGAAATCATGTATTTCTCACGAAACGTATTGCATTAACACATGTTTTGCTATACACATGTTTATTCCCTTTGTGTGTATTGGGACAAAACAAAAAAAAGGGAGGAAAGAAAGCAAATTCGACATAATGTCACACAAACCTCCAAAAATGGGCTGGACAAAAGTATTGGCACCCTTTCACAACTGCGGATAAATAAGAATGTTACAAGCATGTGATGCTCCTGTAAACTCACCTGGGGCAAGTAACAGGTGTGGGCAATATAGAAATCACACCTGAAAGCAGATAAAAAGGAGAGACGTTCACTTAACCTTTGCATTGTGTGTCTGTCTGTGCCACACTAAGCATGGACAACAGAAAGAGGAGACGAGAACTGTCTGAGGACCTGAGAACCAAAATTGTGGCAAAATATCAACAATCTCAAGGTTACAAGTCCATCTCCAGAGAACTAGATTTGCCTTTGTCCACAGTGCGCAACATTATCAAGAAGTTGCAACCCATGGCACTGTAGCTAATCTCCCTGGTCGTGGACGGATGAGGAAAATTGATGAAAGATTGCAACGCAGAATAGTCCGGATGGTGGATAAGCAGCCCCAAACATGTTCCAAAGACATTCAAGCTGTCCTGCAGGCTCAGGGAGCATCAGTGTCAGCGCGAACTATCCGTCGACATTTAAATGAAATGAAACGCTATGGCAGGAGACCCAGGAGGACCCCACTGCTGACACAGAGACATAAAAAAGCAAGACTACAGTTTGCCAAAATGTACTTGAGTAAGCCAAAAGCCTTCTGGGAAAACGTCTTGTGGACAGATGAGACCAAGATAGAGCTTTTTCGGTAAAGCACATCATTCTACTGTTTACCGAAAACGGAATGAGGCCTACAAAGAACAAAACACAGTACCTACGGTAGGGGAAAATATGGTGGAGGTTCAATGATGTTTTGGGGTTGTTTTGCTGCCTCTGGCACTGGGTGCCTTGACTGTGTGCAAGGCATCATGAAATCTGAGGATTACCAAAGGATTTTGGGTCGCACTGTAGGGCCCAGTGTCAGAAAGCTGGGTTTGCTGGTCCAAGATCCTGGGTCTTCCAGCAGGACAATGACCCCAAACATACGTCAAAAAGCACTCAGAAATGGATGGCAAAGAAGCGCTGGAGAGTTCTGAAGTGGCCAGCAATGAGCCCAGATCTAAATCCCATTGAACACCTGTGGAGAGATCTTAAAATTGCTGTTGGGAAAAGGTGTCCTTCCAATAAGAGAGACCTGGAGCTGTTTGCAAAGGAAGAGTGGTCCAAAATTCCGGGTGAGAGGGTGAGAAGCTTGTGTTATCAGAAGCTTATTGATGGTTATAGGAAGCGACTGATTTCAGTTATGTTTTCCAAAGGTGTTGTGCAACCAAATATTAAGTTAAGGGTGCCAATACTTTTGTCCAGCCCATTTTTGGGGTTTTGTGTGACATTATGTCATATTTGTATTTTCTGCCTCTGTTTTATATTTGTTCCAATACATACAAAGGGATAAAACATGTGTATAGCAAAACATGTGTTTAATGCAATACCTTTTTGTGTGAAATACTTGATTTTAGGAAAAAATACACTCAAGGGTGCCACCACATTTTCGGCCATGAACAGTATATATATATATATATATATATATATATACAGGGGCGGACTGACAACTCATGGGGCCCCCGGGCAATAGGGGGTAATGGGGCCCGTGTCTTTGCCCACACTCAAAAAAAAGCCTATAAAAGGTACCAGGGGCATTTCATGGGGCCCCCTACTGACCCCCGGGCAGTGCCCTAGTTCTCGAATGGTCAGTCCGCCCCTGTATATATATATATATATATATATATATATATATATATATATATGGAGCAGGGTCCTCAAACCCCTCGTGTATCGCACTGTATTGTTATTGTACTGTCTCATGTATTGTCCCCCATTGTAATGTACATCGCTGAGCGAACTGTTGGCACTATATAAATACTGTATAATAATATATAGCTCTGACATATGCCATAGTGCTGTACAGAGAACTCTGAACCAATCACATTAGTCTATGAGCCAGAGGAGCTTACACTCTAATGACCTGCCACAGTCAGCCCTCACTGGATCCTGTTGCCAACCTGTACCTGTACTGAGCTTAGGACACAGAAGGCCAGTAGAAGGAATCTGTGAGACTCAGGAGGTCAGCTCTTCTGGAAGTGTTGGTTTTCAGGATCTAAGCTGTGCTGGGCAGCAGGAGAGGTCTATGTGTCCAGCAGGGGCAGACTGACCATTTGGAAACTTGGGCACTGCCCGAGGGCCTGGGGTCAGTAAAGGGCCCCATGAGATGCTCCTGGTACCTTTTTCATAGGCTTTTTTGAGTTTGGGCAAGGACACAGGGGTCCCATTATCCCCTATTGCCCGGGGGCCCCATGAGTTGTCAGTCCGCCCCTGGTGTCCAGTCATCTTTGGCAGGGTATGCTGTGGGCAGATTAATAATGAATGTCGGGGTTCCATTAATATTGCATGCTGTGTCCAGGGCAGTGAAGGCTGATGACTGCAGGTGGGCTGTTTTCGGACAGGTGAACAATCATTATCTGCAGGTCATCCTGTCGGTTGGAGCCGTGAATTGTCCTCCATGTTCCTGATATCCTCCACCAATTTTTCACCCTGTTCCTGACTCAACCAGAAGAAATTTCCCTCTCGCTGGCTCCCAGGTAGGTTCTGACGGTGCTCACACATTGCACCTGACACTGCAGAGTACTATCAGTGAATATGGCACTATTTATATAGCATTTATTGTGACTTTCACCAAACATTCTCTGGTGGAAAACAAGTTAGTGCCTTTTAAAACTCAAACCTGGAAGATTCACCGGAAGTGAACGTTTGGTGAATGTCAGACTCTATGTTTTAAGTAACACTATGCAAGATACTGGTCTGTTTATTAAAGTGCATTTACACCGCTGTGATGTGATGATGTGAATTATGCTGTAATTTTTTGTTTTTGTTTTGTTAAGGCTGCTTTTATGCTGATCCGCTTTTGGTGCGTTCGACAGTTTACAAAAGCGGAAGCAAACCAAAGGAAGGCTGCATTGTGTGAACATTGTCATGTTCACACAAACCTATTGCAGCAGTGTGCAATGAGGAATGAAGGCATGCAGTGCAATGCACACGTAACAAACAAACCTGTGAATGTGTGCCAGTGCAATGCACTTCAAATGCAAACATAAAGATGGTATTATTTTGTCTCTTGATGTGGCTGTACAGAGAATAACACATTTGGGCTTGGTTCACATCTGTGCGGGAGGTGCCGCTGCGGGACTTGCACAAATACCTGCAGCCGCACCACCCGCACAGAGGAATGTGGGACCCACACAAATACCTGCAGCCGCACCACCCACACAGAGGAATGTGGGACCCGCACAAATACCTGCAGCCGCACCACACACACAGAGGAATGTGTACCTGCAGCCGCACCACCCACACAGAGGAATGTGGGACCCGCACAAATACCTGCAACCGCACCACCCACACAGAGGAATGTGGACCTGCAGCCGCACCACCCACACAGAGGAAATGCGGGACCCGCACAAATACCTGCAACCGCACCACCCACATAGAGGAATGTGGGACCTGCAGCCACACCACACACACAGAGGAATGCGGGACCCCCACAAATACCTGCAGCCGCACCACCCACACAGAGGAATGAGGAACCCGCACAAATACCAGCAGCCGCACCACCGACACAGAGGAATGCAGGACCCGCACAAATACCTGCAGCTGCACCACCCACACAGAGGAATGCGGGTGCCATTAATTCTAATGGCACGCCGCCCACACTGGAAATTGCAACCGTACTGAGAACCTAAGTTCCCATGCGGGCTGCAATTTCCAAAGAAGTGCAGGGACTTCTTCCTTGCATGTCCTGGGGCACGGGAATCCATTCAAATGAATGGGCTCTCATGCCCACGCAAATCGCGGGCCACACATATGTGAACCTGGCCTTAGTCCAATTCACACCAGTGTGGTTTAGTGCAGCTGTAAAACACAGATCAGTGGAAGGACATCTGAAAAACAATCATTTCCAATGTATCCTATTCACACCATAACGCTACATTGCGTTAAAATGCAAACTGTATGTCAACAGATTTCAGCATGCGTTAAAAAGGGACTAAAATGGACAGCAATGTAAATGCATATTAGCCCAGGTCAGTGTGAATTGGCCTTTAAAAAAATGTAACCCCATAAAACTTAAGGTCTCCACTCAAGCTCCTGTAAGTGGATCTGGTTTTTCCTGCAATGGGTGTTGGCTGCGCAGAAGTCCGTCAAACTCCTCACAAACTGTGGATATGCACAGAGAGGTCCCAAACACTGCACACCTAGCAAAGCTATTAGTAAACAGGTGAAGGCAGCCTCAGACAGCTTCATCCAAAGCCATGGCTCTAACGTGTTCACCCGGCTCACAGGGCTTAACTGCTTCCGTGCCGCCCTATAGCAGAAATACTGCTACACGGGTGCACATAATCACGTGTGTGTATATGTATGTATGTATGTATGTATATATATATATAATATATATTTTTGCAGTTCCGGGTAGGGGGTGTGCGCACCCTACCTGCACCGCCATTCGCGGCCTCGGCTGTCAATCACTGGGTCCCAGCCGGTGAGTCCCGCCGGCACCCAGCGATCTCCGAGTATTATCGACGGGGGAGAAACCTGTATGTAAACAATAGAGATCTCTCCTGTCAGCTCCTGCACACTGCTTTGTATGGCTCTGCAAGCACAGTTTACAGTGTAAAGCATGCACACAGTTAACCCTTTGATCGCCACACATGTTAACCCCTTCCTGCCCAGTGCAATTAGTACAGTGTTAGTGCTTTTTATTAGCACTGATCATTGTATTGATGTTACTGGGGATGTCAGTAACACCATCAGTTCCCCCCAGTCCCGCTAAAAATCGCTGATCACCGCCATTACTAGTAAGAAAAAAAAATCCATATATAATATATATATATATAATATATATATATATATATATATATATATATATACCCCCACCAAAACTATATAACTTTCACGCAGACCAATTAATTTACACGTATTGGAATGTCTTCTTTTTTTAACAAAGACGTCGCAGAATACATTTTGGTCTAAATTTATGACGAAATTTGATTTTTTAAAAACTTTTTTAGTGGACATGTTTAATAGCAAGAAGTAAAAAATATAGTTTTTTTTTTCTTCAAAATTGTTGGTCTTTTTAGCGCAAAAAATTAAAACCGCAGAGGCGATCGAATACCACTGAAAAAAAGCTCTATTTGTGAGAAAAAAAAAGGACGTAAATTTAATTTGGGTGCAGCTTTGCATGACCGCGCAATTATCAGTTAAAGTAACACAGCGCCGTATCGCAAAAAATGGCCTGGTCAGGAAGGGGGGGGGGGATCCTCTGGAGGGCAAGTGCTTAAACATGGAGCTGATCAGTGATTAACACCCCGGTCGCATCAAGCCTGACTTTAAAATTGTGGGGCTTACAGTGAAGTAGCATTATTTCAAATGGGGCGAGATGCTGATTTCAGGTGCGATTTGCAAGACATCTGACCAGGGGCGGACTGACCATTTGGAAACCTGGCACTGCCCGAGGCCCGGGGTCAGTAGGGGGCCCCATGAGATACCCCTGGTAACTTTTTCATAAGCTTTTTTTGAGTTTGGGTAAGGACACAGGGGCCCCATGATCCCCTATTGCCCGGGGGTCCCATGAGTTGTCAGTCCGCCCCTGCATCTGACACAGATATCTATGCAAATTGCACCAAAAAGTAGTACATGCACTACTAGAAATCGCTCCACGTTTGAACTGCACCGATTTGATCGCTTTAATTGAGGACAATAGGGTGCGGCTTGGCATACAATTTGCAAGTCGCTGGGCATGCAAATCGCATGCCAAGTCGCACCCTATGTGACCGGGATGTAAGCCCCATGGGGGGGGATGAAATGCGTTGGGGCGTGGCTTTGGATGAAGCTGGCTGTGGCTGCCTTCATCTGTCTACTAATGACTTTTCAAGGTGTTGCGATGTTTGGGACCTTTCTCATTGCATTTAAAAAACGGTTTTTACCTGCAACATGTTGAAAAATGGTTGTTAAACAACAATAAATGTTTTCTGCGTATTTTTGTTTACGGTGGAGTGTAACCGAGTATACACGTTTGCATTAGTCAGACTTGATCCTGTTCTGTTATAATTTTGCTATACAATTCGATTGTATTATCTGATCGATGGACAATTTGCTCAAAACAATTGAATCTGCAAACAACTGAAGAGCCATCCCTTCCCTTCTAATGGATTTAGATCAAACTGAGTCAATCAGCTGAGATGTAAAATTATCATTTTTGCATTGGTCAGCAGCACTAAGATACTTTGTTCATAAATATGTTCGTATTTCGATTGATCAGATTATTAGTTTACATGGTGGAAACAGAAATGTGATTGAGAATTAACATAAAGATCCTAAGTTATCAATCAAAATGGACCTCCCTGTGTGTAGCTTATTGATCGAATGGGTTGTAGATTTATAGATCGATTATTCCAATCAGAAGAGATCGATTGGAAAAGAAATGGATAATTTATTGAAGTGTGTATGACCACCATTAACTGGAATTCCGCAGGCAGATCAATGCTGCAGCATACGTCAGCAGCTCTCAGACTTGCATTGTACATTCTGAAGCCGACGGGCTGCAAACACATCATGAACATCAATCAAGGTAAAATTCGGGCATTTCCAATGTAAAAAAAAATAAATAAATAAAAAGTTCAGATTTGTGATTGGCATAAATCGGTTTTCATTGCACTACATACCACATATGAGGCCACTTCTTACATTGTTGTTATGTTTAGCTTGGTAACAGTTTGTTGTTTGTAGAAATGAAACGTTTTCTAAACACAAGAAGAGTATTTATTTTATTTACAAAGTGGATGCTTAGGAAACTTTACAAACATTCAGAGCAATTGGCAGCAAACAGACACTCTAAGCCCTGGATCACACTGAGATGAATTGTCATGACTGTTCAAATCGCATGACAAATCGCATTCAATGTTCGGCAATGGAACCCTTCTAATCGGTGTGACTCAGACATCTGAATCGCACTGATTTGAAAAAGTAGTTCCTGCGCTACTTTTGCTGATTTCGGGTGCAACTTGCATAGACAGATGTCTGTCAAGTCGCACTGCCATTCGACTTTGAAACTGTGCAACTTCAAGTGAAGTTGCGTGATATCAAAGTCGGATCCAGTGTGAACCGGTGCTTAGTAAAAGATGGATTGCTGGGACCAGGGGCGGACTGACAACTCATGGGGCCCCCGGGCAATAGGGGATCATGGGGCCCTGATGTCCTTGCCCACACTCAAAAAATCCTATAAAAAAGGTACCAGGGGCATCTCATGGGGCCCCTACTAACCCCGGGCCCTCGGGCAGTGCCCGAGTGCTCGAATGGTCAGCCCGCCCCTGGCTGGGACTTCAAATACAAATTCTGGTTTTTGTTCTGTTATTCCATCAGTTTGGCCCTAAAATAATCCTAAATGGCCATTACACTGGTAGACTTTTGGTCATCGTTTATATATTATTATATTATACAGGATTTATATAGCGCCAACAGTTTGCTCAGCGCTTTACAATATAACGGGAGACAATACTAGCAACAAAACAGTTCAATTTGTACAGAAATCCTGAAAAATCGTTCATCAGAACATTCTTTTTTGCCATCATTGAGCAATTATTTTGTACAGAAGCCCTTAAAGCTGAATTTATGGAATTTTTTCTAGACAATTTTTCCATAGTTTTGCATTCAATCCAGCTTGGATCAATGGAAGAATGTGTGTCATACCTGGGATTCATGTGGAAATCACTGTAGTTTTTTTTAGCACCACTACTACACAGCTGCTACAGTGATCTCCACTTGCTTCTGGGTTCCCCACTACATTGTGAACACAGGAGGTTGCTCGTTGGGCAGAGGCACCATTCAGAGAGCACTTTGCATTTTTCGGACTGAATGCAAAGTGTTCTCTGGTTGGATGAGTTGGAGATTGTGATGTCATGCATTAAATAGTTTGCGCTCCCAAATTATCTAAAAGAATTCCCTCTGTAAACTTAATTACCAACTGAATTAAAATAATTCAATATTATACGGTGATAAAAACCATATGAGCTAAAATACATAAACCCCTGCTCATATATACCAATTAATCTTGCCCTCTTAATAAATCTGTGATGAAAAATTACCAATTAAAAAAATTCATGATAAATCCTCAAATATTCAGTGATACATCAATTAACATAATAATACTACTAATTTCAGAATAAATTGTGACAAATCGTGAATTGTGATAACCTATAAATCAAAAAATAGTGATTCTGTAACAAATTATGTAATACATATTATCCTGTGATAAACCTATAGCAGAATAAAAATAAATGGCTACTAAATATCAGTGAAAAAATATATATATAAACTCAGTGTCCAAAATAAACTCAAAAAGTCCATGCAAAATTTGTGAAAAACACTCTGTGATCTTCATTTAGTGCTCAAAAAGGAATCCTCCAAAGGCAGCAATGCCTGCTCACCTCCCCTCCTCGACCCACACAGGGCCACAAGGCAAAAAAACTCTCCTCAAAGGCAATCCTTTCCTCCAAGCAACTCAGCAAGGGGCCTCTGGACTTCAACTCCACCTCCTTCACCTCGTCATATAGGACACAAACAAAAACTTCCCATAGTATTATATTATTATATTATCCCATATTAGTATAATTATCCCATTAATTTTTCTATGGGAAGTTTTTTGTTTGTGTCCTATATGACGAGGTG